CTTCTTGTGTCTGGTCTCCCCCGGTCTCTACCGCCCCTTCCTCAGGGCCCTGGCCCTGCCTGTGTCCCCTGTGTCGAGGGGCGCCAGCGTGCTGCCCCTCACTCCTCCCAGTTTCCTCCGACAGAGGCCCCGTTGCAGACGCTTCACATGGACGTGTGGGGCCCAGCCCGCGTCCATGGACAGGGTCAGGAGCGCTACTTCCTGCTCGTTGTTGACGACTACTCGCGTTACACCACAGTCTTCCCCTTGCGCAACAAGGGTGAGGTTACTGAGGTGCTGATCGACTGGATCCGCGCAGCTCGTCTTCAGCTCAAGCAGAGCTTTGGCTCCGACTTTCCTGTGTTGCGTCTGCACTCTGACAGAGGCGGAGAGTTCTCCTCTAGCCTTCTACGTGCCTACTATCAGGCGCGAGGCATCCGCCAGTCCTTCACGCTTCCGGACTCCCCGCAGCAAAATGGGATTGCTGAGCGCCGCATTGGCATGGTCATGGATGTCGCCCGTACGTCCATGATGCATGCAGCTGCCCCCCATTTTCTGTGGCCGTTTGCGGTCAGGTACGCGGCGCATCAGATCAACCTCCACCCCAGGGTCTCCAGGCCGGAGACCTCCCCAGCCCTGCTGTGGACGGGGAAGGTTGGCGATGCGTCGGCGTTCCGGGTCTGGGGATCTCGGGCGTTTGTCCGCGACTTGTCTGCGGACAAGCTGTCCCCTCGCGCTGCTCCCTGCGTCTTGCTGGGGTTTCCCCCCGACGCCCCTGGGTGGCAGTTCTACCACCCCACCTCTCGACGTGTTCTGTCCTCCCAGGACGTCACGTTCGACGAGTCGGTACCCTACTACCGCCTCTTCCCCTACCGCACTCCGTCTCTCCCCCCGCCCCCGCTCTTCTTGGTACCAGGTCCCCCCCCGGTAGACCCCCTCCCCCCTCAGGGTCCTGCCCCTTCAGGTGTGTCCCAGGTAGACGCGGTCGAGCCTGTCGAGGTCACTGGTGACTCTGGTGCTGCTGCGGGAGCTGAGCTTGGGGGTGCGGAGTCTGGGGGTGCTGAGCCTGGGGGTGCTGAGCCTGGGGGTGCTGAGCCTGGGGGTGTTGGGCCTAGGGGTGCTGAGCCTGGGGGTACTGAGCCTGGGGGTGCTGAGCCTGGGGGTACTGTGCCTGGGGGTGCTGAGCCTGGGGGTGCTGAGCCTGGGGGTGCTGTGCCTGGGGGTGCTCTGCCTGGAGGTGCTTCGACTCGCCGGGAGCCACTCTCCCCACAGGAGCTGCGTGAGTGGTTTGCCAGGCGCTGGAGGCGTGCTGCTGGTGCTGGTGGTTCTTCGGCTGCAGAGGGTACTGCTGCCGCGCGTCCCGGAGGTGCTCGTACTGTGGGTGCTGGAGCTGCTGGGTCTGAGGGTTCTCCTGGAGCTGGTGCTGCTGAGGGTGTTGCCGCTGAGACTGCCTCTGGCGGTCCGACTGACAGTGCTCCTCGTGCTGCTGCTGGAGGTTCTGGAGCTACTGGAGGTGCTGCTGGAGGTGCTGCTGGAGGTACTGGTGCTGTCCCGGCTAATTCTGTCGTCGCCGCGCGGCCCCGACCGTACTTCGTTCCGCTCCTGCAGCAGGTTCTTGGTCTTACACCTCCTCCTCCCTTAGAGGGTCCACAGCCTGTCCAATCACAGCCACAGCTACAGCCTGCCTCCCCTTTGCCTGCTCCTTCTCCCTACACTGGTCCGACTGGAGGTCTTCCTGAGCGTCGTGAGCCTGCGTCTCGTCCTGCGTCGCCTGTTCGTACTGCGCGCGCTAGTGGTCGCGGGTCGCGTCAGCGTCCTCCTCCTGTCCCTGGCACGCACCGGATGTCACTGCGTCCGTCCACTGCTCCTCTGCGTGCCCCTTTGCCTTCTCCTCCTGCTTCCTCTCTTCCTGCTCTTGCCGACCCGGAGTCGGACTCTCTTCGTGCTCCCAGTCCTACTGTCACGCGTCTCCTTGCTACTGCTGTCACTGACCCTTCCTTCGAGTCGTCTGCTGCTTCTGCCTTTGTCACTGAGCTTGTCGACTTTGCTGCGCGCTGTCGTCTAGACTACGCTGCCAGTCTTGTCGCTGAGTCTGAGTCTGCCTGTCCTCCGTCCGTCGGGGTTGAGTATGCCCTCGGCACGGACGTCCTTGAGGACAGGCAGGAGGAGTTCCAGTGTCTGGCCGCCGCTTCACCTCATCTCGCGTCTGTACTGCTAGCCCCTGAGGGAGACCCGGATGCACCAAACATCCCGACTCCGCGCTCTTACGCGGAGGCGATAGAAGGTCCCTACTCCTCTCAGTGGCAGGCAGCTATGGATGCAGAGATGGCTTCCTGGAAGTGCACAGGCACCTACGTCGACGCTGTCCCCCCTCCTGGGGCGAACATCGTCAGTGGCATGTGGATTTTCAGGGTGAAGCGGCCGCCGGGTTCTCCGCCTGTCTTCAAGGCGCGTTACGTGGCTCGTGGCTTCAGTCAGCGGCAGGGGGTTGACTACTTTCAGACCTTCTCCCCCACCCCGAAGATGACCACTCTTCGGGTTCTGCTGCACGTTGCTGCTCACCGTGACTACGAGCTGCACTCTCTCGACTTCAGCACTGCTTTCTTGCAGGGCAGCCTGCACGAGGAGATCTGGCTGCGTCGCCCACCTGGCTTCACTGAGTCTTTCCCTCCTGGTACCCAGTGGAGTCTCCGGCGTCCAGTCTACGGTCTCCGCCAGGCGCCACGTGAGTGGCACGACACACTGAGGACTACGCTCGCGGCACTTGGGTTTGCTCCTTCTACTGCCGACCCGTCGCTGTTTCTGCGCACCGACACCTCTCTGCCGCCGTTCTACATCCTCGTGTACGTCGACGACTTGGTCTTTGCCACAGCTGACACTGCTGGACTCGCCTACGTGAAGTCCGAGCTGCAGAAGAGACACACGTGCACTGACCTGGGTGAACTGCGTAGCTACCTTGGCTTGCAGATCACCCGGGACAGAGCACGCCGCACCATTACCCTGACTCAGTCACACATGGTGCAGCAGGTCCTTCAGCGCTTCGACTTCACGTACTCCTCGCCTCAGGCCACTCCTCTGCCTACTCGCCACTCGCTCTCAGCTCTGCCTTCGGATGAGTCCGTAGAGTCGAGTGGCCCGTTTGCAGAGCTTGTTGGCTGCCTCATGTACCTGATGACCTGCACACGACCTGACCTTGCATACCCTCTTAGCATTCTCGCACGCTATGTTGCTCCTGGGAGACACCGACCAGAGCACATGGCTGCAGCGAAGAGGGTGTTGCGCTACTTGTGCAGTACGTCGGGCATGGGGTAGTGCTTGGAGGGCGCAGTCCAGTGGTCCTCACTGGGCACGCAGACGCTTCTTGGGCTGACGACCAGGCTACGCAGCGGTCGTCACAGGGTTACACCTTCAGCCTTGGTTCCGGCTCTGTTTCGTGGCGGGCTACCCGCTCGTCTTCTGTTCTCGGCTCCAGTTGTGAGGCTGAGATCTACGCTGGGGCTATGGCTGTTCAGGAGTTACGCTGGCTCACCTACCTGCTGACCGACCTTGGAGAGCAGCCTCGTTCTCCTCCAGTCCTGTACGTAGACAACAAGGCCATGCTGGCCTTGTGTCGAGAGCAGCGACTGGAGCACAGGACGAAGCACATTGCTCTCCGCTACTTTCTTGCTCGTGAGCTACAGCAGCGTGGACAGTTGCGACTTGCGTACGTGGCCTCTGAGGCCAACACTGCTGATGTCTTCACCAAGGCACTTGCGCCTTGTGATCATCAGCGTTGTTGCACGCAGTTGGGTCTTGTGCCTGTCCTGCCTCACTTGCTCACTTCTTGACTTTGCTTGTACCTTCTGCTATATATACTCTTGCTCTTGCTCGCTTGACTCTTGTATATCTTTATATATGCTCTTGCATGTGAACTGGCCTTGTGGCCCTTGAACTTGTGCTCGGAATGTGTGGTGACTTTGTGATCCACCCTGAGCTTTGCTTTGCTTTGCTTGACTGGTCTTGTGACCCCTTGTTCTCCTCCAATTTGCCTATGGGGGTGTGTCAGAACATTGTAGCTTACTCATTTCTGTAGGCTATAGTGGGGTATCCCATAGGGGGTACAACCCAATTAGGGTTTCATATTTGTACCCACTTCATTTCATAGTCATTTCATTCTCGTTCAATTCTTCTCAACCCGATCTGTTTATCTTTTTTTTTATGGCGTCTATCTGCATTAGGTGAGCTAACATGGCTGCCACCCGCATTTCAGGTGTACAGGCGGCTCCATGCTAACCGACACTACTCATTTCTGTGTCTCCTGCTCTAGTGAGTTGCTCCTGGAAACATGATAAGTAATGCTGGTATAATGTACTTGCAGACATCATATACTTGAAATTAACAGCAAAGTCTCAAAACAAAGGTTCACGTTAATATTTTTTTACATTAATAATTATGGATATATCGGATGAGCGCTTTGTAGGACTAGTACATAGCCTGAATAAAAATGCGCTGTAGACAATATTTTGGCTGAAAGCGATGGATTTTACAGCGCGTTTGCGGCTCGAGTTCGGCTGGGTTCGCGAGAAGCGGGAACGCACAGGATTGGGCCCCAACTTCTCGGGGGGTAACATCAGGGTCACCGCTCGGGTTCACCTCAGTGTGACAACGAACTGAACTTCGATCGGGGGTAACATTGGGGTATCACTGTTGGCGACAATGGGGTATCACTAATCGGGGTAACCCTGATGTGACCTTGGGGTAGAAATTTGCGGGGGACTTTTTTGGGATGGAGTCCTAGACTGTCACTTCCGTGCAACTCGAAGCTTATGGGACTGTAGGTGCTTATTCTTGTTCTTGCCTCGCATACTAGTAGTATGCCGACGCTCAGGCTGCCTGTTCCTCGTGATGGGCGATAAGCGTGCGGTAGTGTGACACACATCTTTTCTTTGAGCCGCATACAGGGACTTACGTAATCCCCAGTGACGAATTTCTAACCTTTCTTCGTCCTGGTCACGAGATAAGTTCAGTCGGATTCTCTATTGCTAGTTCGCGTACCAGTAAAGCCCGAGCTGATCACAAGCGCCGCTGGCAGCATTGCTGCCTCTACGGCACATCGCGAACGGGATGGCGAACGGAAGCCGCACTGGAAGCAACCTCCATCTTCGAGCGAAGTTGAGTATGAGAACTCGAAACCCGGCTTCAGCTTGCGACTGAAAAGACGGTAATGCAGATTTAGGAGCCGGATCATGCGCGCGGCGAAGGCGGCGGATCGTGCGAGTGAAGGCGGAGGATGGGTTCTCATAGGCGGAGGCGGAGAAGAACGGCGGAAGGCGCATGCGCTGTGGCAGGCGGCGAAACGGGCGGAGACACCGGCAAGCAGCGCTAGCGGCGTTGGCAGTGGCAGTGGCGGCGGCTGGGAGAGCGGGAAGGAGGGCGAGGGGGCGGTGAAGGGTGGGCTGCTGAAGGGGCTGGCGGGCAATCATTGACCTGCTCGATCCCACCCAGGTGAGCCGCTCTGAGGGATGACGATTCGTGCTTGGAGACTGGTGAAGGGGGGATGAAGGAAGGGGGTTTTGAAGGGGGGGGGTTGAAGGAACGGGTTGTGAAGGAAGGGAAGGGGGGTTTGAAGGAAAGGGAAGAGGGGGGTGAATTGACTTTTGAGACTGACTAAAAAGGGGGAAGAGGGGGGAGAAGTTGATGGGTGTGAGAGGGGCGATCTGTGAGAGGCAGTGAGTGAGAGGCGACGTGGTGTGGACCATTGTGCAGTCCAGAACACCCTGCAGCACCCCCTTCCCGCCCACCCATGCTCAACTCCCTCTTCCCACCATCCGACCACGCTCCGCTCCTGCTTGCTATTCCCATGCCCTCCTCGCACCCACTCGCACAGCCACACTGCTTGCTAAGGCACCACCTCAGGACCATCTCGAACTCTCCACTTACCATACCCTCCTTACCCTTATACACTTCCATTCCCTCATGCCCTCCCCTCCGCCTCCTTTAATCCCTCTCCCTCCTTTACCCCCTCCTTTTTCCTTACAGCCTTCACTCTTGCCCTCTCCCCCCCTCCCCCTCTCTGCGCCAGGCTCTGCCATGACCCCTTGCTCGCCACGCGGCCTCGTCGCAACCACGCGGGCTGACTGGAATGGGGGAGTGACCGATGGGCGGCAGTGACCCGGGGGCACATGACACGCTGGACTGGGGATTGTCAAGGTGAGAGTCGGTGGGGGACGGGGGAGAAGCGTGTAGGAATATGTGGAGTCGGTGTACTGAGGGGTCGACAAGGAGTCGCTGTGAGTGCCCATGGGATGGTTGCGAGAGTGAGTGGAGGGAGCTGAGGGCTGGCCAGGTGAGTTGAGGAGGTGAAATTCGTTCCCCTCTCCAACTACCTCCCCTCCCTCCCAATAATTGTTCCCTCTTCCCCACCAGCCTGCATTCCCATCCCCTCCCATCTCATCCATTCAGCTGCGCACTTGTGTGCCCATACAGCACAAGCGCATAACCCGCACTACCCCGTCCTTCCCCCTTCCTGCTTCCCCGTGACCTCTCTCCACAATTATCCCCACTCCCCCTCAGATCCGCACCCTCTACTCCACGGACGCACCCAATCACGCGCCTACCACACTGTCTCTCATATCCCTCCTCCCTGCGTCCTTCTCATCAACGCACTGCTCCCTCCTTCCCCCATTCCCCCCCTTCCCCCCCAGCTCGGCACCTATTTCTCCCATGCCGATTTCTGGTCCACAGATTCGCGCCCCCACGGCACTCTCTCCCACATCCCTCTCATAAGCCACTGCTCCTTTTCCTTCTTTCCCTTCCCATCCCTGTCCCCTCCCCCCACCTATGCACTGCACCTGCGTCTCCTACACCCACGTCTATCCCACACCACTGCACAGACTCGCTCCCCACAGCGCGGACGCACACCACTCCCCAAATCTCCTACCCACGCACTGAATTCTCCCATCGCCATAACGTTTTCCTTCCCTCTCCTTTTTCCCAGCCAGGCCCTCAAGCTCCGCACCTGTAGCTCCTATACCAACGTCTGCCCTGCGAATTCCTGCCGCTATGTTGGCTGGCACTGCTCACCCAGGTGCTGTCCCGTCTGTCAGAAATGGGCTTAGAATTGATCCTATAGTAGTGAGCTCAAAGCTCTTTAAGTACATCCGGAATGAGCAAGGTAGGGATGAGGAGGGAATTAGGAGGCAATCCTAGGGAATCAAGGGTAATCCCAAGGCAATCTCCAATTGGTGGGTTGGAGATTGCTTGGATATTACATTTGGGTTTGGTTGGGATGTGGGTGTACACCCAACCAAACACAAAATGCAAACTACACTAAACTAGGATATAAAAGTACAAGTACAAAATGTGAGATTGGGGCCTAACACCAACACCCCCCCTTAGGCGTCAATCGAACTCAAGGCGGAGAAGGAGGAGCGCAGAGCCCCATGGCGCCAAGGAGACGATGGTGGGGAACCTTTCCAAGGGGCTTGGTGAACAGGTCAGCCAGGTTGCAGTCAGACGCCACGTATTCCACCTTCAGCTGCTCTTGTTGCACAAGGTCACGAATGAAGAAGTGCCGAAGTTCAATATGCTTGGTGCGGGTGTGATACACAGGGTCTTGAGAAATGTGGATGGTACTTTGGTTGTCACACCAGAGGGTGGGGGCTGACTGAGGGAAGCCAAGCTCTTGGAGTAGGAAGGTGAGCCAACGGGCCTCCTGAGCAGCCATGGTGCCTGCGTAGAGCTCTGCCTCACAGGAGGAGAGGGAGACTGCAGACGACCTGGTGGAGCGCCAACTGACAGTTCCGCTCCCAAGGGTGAAGCAGTACCCCTGAGAGGAGCGTCGGTCGGTCTGGTCATCAGCCCAGGAGGAGTCTGTGTAGCCTTCCAGGCGAGGAGGGGAGTGCCCACCGAGTGTGAGAACGTGAGACTTGGTGCCCTTAAGATAGCGCAGCACCCGCTTTGCTGCCTTCCAATGAAGATCAGTGAAGCGACCAGGGGCCACGTAACGAGAGAGAACACTGACTGGGTAGGCCAAGTCCGGTCGGGTGCACATCATGGCGTACATGAGGGACCCAACAAGTTCCGGGTATGGCTCAGAGCAGGCCTCTGGTGTGGGTACAGCAGGAGCTGTGAGGAGGTGTTGCAGCGGCAGTGGGGTGGCAACAGGTGTGGACAACTCCATTTCAAACCGCTTGAGCACATTGTCGATGTAGAACTCCTGGGAGAGTGAGATGGTGCGAGCCTTGCGATCACGAGTGATCTCCATTCCCAGGTAGTGCTTGAGGTCACCGAGGTCTTTCATATGGAGGGCCTTGCTCAGGGCTGCCTGGACTGAGGTCATTTGGGCCGAGTCCTTGGCAACGAGGATGAAATCATCCACGTAGACTAGGATGTAGAATGGCTCAGAATGACGGCGGATGAAGAGAGTCGGGTCAGCAGTTGAAGGGTGAAAGTCCAGGGAGAGGAGGACTTCTTTCACCTTGTTGTGCCATTCGCGAGGGGCTTGCTTAAGGCCGTAGACAGGGCGATTCAGCTTCCAGACAGTGTTGGGAGGGAATTCTCCTGGGAAACCTTCTGGTCTGTCCATGAGCACTGTCTCCTTGAGACGTCCTTGTAGGAAGGCGGAGGAGGCATCCATGGATTTGATCTCAAAGTCTTCTCGAGCTGCAACATCCATGAGCGTTCGAATGGTGGGAGGTTTGGATGTGGGGGAGAAGGTTAGGTCGAAGTCGCGGTACTGCTGCTGGGTGAAGCCCTTGGCTACGTAACGCGCTTTGAACACCGGTGCCTCGTCTGGGAGCTGTTTAACACGGAACAACCACTTGCCCCCGACGATGTTGACTCCTAGAGGAGTCTCGTCGTCGAAGGAGTGGTTGCGAGTGAATGCTGCAATTTCCGCGTCCATGGCAGCACGCCATTCAGCCGCATGAGGGCCTGAGAGGGCCTCTTGGACGGTGAGAGGGATAGGGATGGTCGGGTTCTCCGCGAAGTTGAGGGAGGGTGAGCCAGTGATGTCGGGGAAGATGTGAGAGAGCTGAGGAATGACTGCATGGAGATCACACAGCTCCTCATGCCTGTCTTCGAGAAGGGTAGAGGGCACATCCCCCCCAGCAGGAGGAGGCGGTGTGATCGATGTGTATCGAAGAACCATTGCGAGCGGAAGAGCAGCGCGATGGGAGCGAGTGACATGAGCCACCGGTGAGGAGGGTGGGGCAGGCGGTGTCGGGGAGGGTGACTTAGGAGGCTTGGGTGGGGGAATGGGCCGCCGGCGGTACGTGATCAGCTCGAGCGACTGCGGGAGAGCAGGTTCCTCTGTGGTGGGGGGAACCGGGGGAGGAGGTGGGGCCGGAGGGTGGGACCGCCGATGGTAGGTGATAGGTGCGCTCGGAGGGGGCGGCGCAGTTGGAAGTGAGGAAGGTGAGGGGGAGGGGGGAGCAGCTGCCGAAGACACCGGTGAGGCCGGGTCAGAGACCTCAGAGGGGGATGGTGCGATGGCAGGAGAGGGAGGAGGTGAGGGGGCAGGAGCAGGCGGGAGGTCGGGAGGCGCGTCAAAGTCTGCCCACACGAGGGAGGGCGGATCAGGGAGAGGGTCTCGTCCCGAAGGGGAGTAGAATGGGCGGGTCTCATCAAGCACAACGTCGCGGCTCCTGACCAACTGATGAGTGGAGGGATTGAGGAAGAGGTAGTCAGGTGAGTCGGCGTTGTGCCCAAGGTAGATGCACGTCTGAGTCTTGGGACCGAGCTTGCCACCGTTCTGCCGTCGAGCCTGAGGGTTGAGGAGGACATAGGCAGTGCATCCCCAAACGCGAAGAGAGCGAGCAGTGGGTGTTTTCCCGAGCCAGAGTGTGGTAGGAGTGGTGTCGGGAAGATGCGGGTGGGGGTAAAGATTGTAGAGGAGGGCAGCATGGTAGAGGGCGTATCCCCAGAGAGAGTGTGGGGCATTGGAGTGGCTGAGGAGGCACCGAGTGATTTGCACCAGGGTGTGATTGCGGCTTTCGGCGATGCCGTTCTGCTGCGGGCTGTCTGGGAGGGTGAAGTTTTGCTGGATGCCTTCGGAGGAGCAGAAGGCTTTGAGCTTATCGTTGCAGAATTCACCCCCCCCATCCGAGTGAAGGCGCTTGACCTTGCGGTCAAAGGTGGTCTGTGCCTGCTTGACCCACGCGATGATGACTTCTGGAGCCTCAGCCTTAGTATGGAGGAGGTGAACAGAGACGTAGCGGGAGTGGTCATCCACGATAACAAGGAAGTAGCGATAGCCACCGCGCGCGAGAACAGGGGCAGGTCCCCAGACGTCCATGTGCACGAGGTCCAGTGGGGCCGCTGCGACTGTGGGTGAGGCAGGATGGGGCTGTTGGCGTAGTTTGCTCTTGGTGCAGTCAAGGCACGGGGGAGCTGGTGAGTCAGGTGGTGGAGGAAGTGCGGCTGGCAGGCCAAGGAGAAGTTTCTTGGAGGCCATGTCAGCAAGAGTGCGAAAATTTGGGTGCCCGAGTCGATTGTGATAGAGGATGGTCGGGTTGGAGAGGGTGCGACATGAGCATGGTGTGATAGTGGCTTTGTGCTTGGGTGGTTGACACCTGTGGGAGAGGGACGCGTAGCGTGTAGAGGCCGTTGCTATTGAGGGTGTAGCGCGCAAGGGTTTTGTTGGTGCGTGGGTTGATGATGTCGCAATAGTTCTCGTTCTCGGGGAAGATGGTGCGTAGCCCCGCTTCCTGGATTTCCGTTTGGGCAACTAGATTGTGACGCAGTGAAGGCACGCACATGCCAGTGACAGTGCCGGATGGGAAGGCGGGGCATGGGACTGTGGAGGTACCCTTGGCGAGGGTGGTGAAGCTTGAGTCAGCTCCTAAGAGAGGGATAGGTGTTGGGTAAGGTTTGAAGGAGAGAGTCTCCTTGAGCACAGTGTGAGTGGCCACGCTGTCGAGTGTAAACTCGATGTATTGTGGTGCTTGTGATGAGCTGATGTACTGTGAGGTAGCTTCATTAATCATGGCAGTGCCAGGGAACAACAGGTTGATACGCACATCAGAAGAAGCAGCATCACTAGTACTAGCCGAAGCGGGGTCCTGGGCCTCAACTAGGTTGGCCTTACGAGAGCGCATTCAATTCGGCGGCTTCTTGTCAACTCCGTGGATGGCGTACCACTCGTCGTCTTTTTTCTTGAAGCACGTAGCAAGCGGGTGGTTAGTGCCACCACACACTTGTCCCTTGCGGTTGCCGTACTTGACGACGTAGGGGCACGGAGGAAAGCGGTTGCGCTGGAAGGGCGTCGAGGCGAGAGCCGCTGCGACACTTGCTTGAGGCATGGGAGCGCGGATAGCGTATGCCTTGGCCTGAGCAGTGGAGTCTTTCTCAGCAGAGAGGAGTGCGGTGGAGACCTTAGCAAATGTGAGGTCTTCTGCTGAGAGTGTGAGGAGCATCTTCCTCGTGACTTCATAAGCTGAGGTGAGTCCAACAAGAAGCGCGGCTGCAGGGGCTTGCTCGGGGAAGACTATACCCAGCTCCTTGAGTTCGCCGTGGATGGTCTGCACCTTGGCAATGTAGTCGGCCATTCCCGAGCAGTCCTCAAGGCGGACCTGAAGCATGCTAGGGATGAGAATGGCCACGCCGACCGCCGTCTTGTGCATGAACCGATCCTGGAGGTACTTCCAGATGGCGTTGGAGGTAGGGTAGTTATGGAACGTGTTGACAAGTTCGGGAGGGGTGGAGGCGATGAAGACGCTGATGATGGCAGCATCGGCCTTCTCCCATTTCCGGTACTTCTCAACAGCCTCCTCGTACGCCTTCACGTCAGTATCACTTGAAGATTCGGTCGGTTCACGGGGAAGAGTGGGCTGTTTCCCCTTGCCACGGTTGAGGAGGACGTCCTTGAGGTCAAGGCCCTGCACGTCACGGCTCAGGAGGTGCTTGTCAACTCCGTAGCTCCACGCCTTGAAGTTGGAGCTAGAGCCATCGGCTTCAAGGCGGAGCGGGGTGATGGGGTTCGCCATGGTGGAAGACGAGAAAGCCATGGTGGAGACCCCTTAACTTCTCGCGCGGAGCGCCGCTCTTAAGTCACCGATAGGAACTCGAGGTTTGGGGTTTCCGAAGGAGATTTTGAAGAACCGGAGGTTTAGGGTTTACGAAAGAGAATTTTGAGGTTTAGGGTTTCTGAAGGAGAATTTGACTGAGACGCCAATTTAGTGTCAACTACCTACTAATCCTATTTCCACACACCCCCCCACACACCACCCTCAGCTTCGCGGCTCCGCTGCTGCTCGGCTTCGCGGCTACACGGCTGCTCGGCTTCGCGGCTACGCTGCTGCTCGGCTGCGTTGCTGCACCTGTTCAGCTGCGGGAAAAAGGGGGGATGGGGGTAGGAGTGCAGATGCGGGGCGACGGGCGGCAGCCCGAAGATGACGCTGCGGGGCGACGGGCGGCGGCCCGACGAGAAGCTGCAGGGCGACGGGCGGCAGCCCGACGAGAAGCTGCAGGGCGACGGGCGGCGGCCCGACGAGAAGCTGCAGGGTGACGGGCGGCGGCCCGACGAGGAGAAGAAGTGACGAGAGTGACGAATTGATGAAAACGAGTGTTAGGTTAGAGCGCCGACGATGCGCTTACCAGAGAAGTTTCCGTCGATGGTGACGGGAAGATGTGGCGGGAGAAATTCCGCCGATGAATGTCGCGAATCAACGGTGACGAGATTGGCGATGGCTTCCCCGAGGTTTGCGGGACAAGTATCCGCAGAGATGAGAGGATCACGATCCGCGTATGCGGTTGAGGTGCTCTGATACCATGTCAGAAATGGGCTTAGAATTGATCCTATAGTAGTGAGCTCAAAGCTCTTTAAGTACATCAGGAATGAGCAAGGTAGGGATGAGGAGGGAATTAGGAGGCAATCCTAGGGAATCAAGGGTAATCCCAAGGCAATCTCCAATTGGTGGGTTGGAGATTGCTTGGATATTACATTTGGGTTTGGTTGGGATGTGGGTGTACACCCAACCAAACACAAAGTGCAAACTACACTAAACTAGAATATAAAAGTACAAGTACAAAATGTGAGATTGGGGCCTAACACCAACACCGTCCTCTCCCTTTTCCACCTCCCCCAACCCTTCCCTGCACTTCCTGGGTCCCTTCCTCTTCCCACCAGATTCTCCTGCCCATGATGAGTCTCTACCCTTGCAATGCGGGCGCACTGATCACGGGGAACCAGCGGGCTGCTGAGGGCACTCCTTGCCAAGGCTGCATGTCTTGTCCTTCCTCAGAGAGGAGCAGAGGAGGTGTGCGTGTGGTGAGAGGGACGTGGGTTGAGCTAAGTCGCTCTCCTCACCTGCTTCTCGTACACAGACTCATGTCCCAACGGCACTGTCTCCCACATCCCTCTTCCTGCATCCGTCTCACAAACGCAATAAACCCTCCTTCCCCACCCCTTCCCCCTTTGTCCCTGCATAGCTCCACACCTGGTTCTCTCACACAGACTTCTGGCCCACAAGTTTTTGTCCCTACAGCACTGTCTCCCACTCCTTTATAAGCCACTTTTGCTTTACCTCTTTTCTCTCCCACCTCCTCCCCTCCGACTCGGCACCTGCTTTCCCTATTCCAGGTTCTGACCCACAGGCTCGACCCGGCTCCTACATACAGCGCGACCCGGTTCCAGGTGCAATGCTCACACAGGCACTAACGCTCCCCTCCCCATATCCTCTCTCTTCCATCCCCCACTCCCCAGCTCCACGTCTGCTTCTCCTACACCAACGTCTGCCCCACGGATTCCTGCGGTGGCGATGCTCTGCTGCTCCCTCATGCTCTCTCCCTTCCTCTCCCCTTCCCACCTCCCCCAACCCTTGTGCCGTCTCCCCACCAGCACTGCACCTGCTTCTCCTCCCTCGGTTCGTGGCCCATTGGTGTCCGCCTCTGCAACAAGAGTGCACTGTTCACAGGGAACCTGCAGGCTGCGCGCCATGAGGCTGCACAGGCTGTTCCCAATTCCTAGATTGGTGTCACAGGGATTCGTTTTGAGACGTCTCAAAACACTTCTTCAAACGATTGGTGTCACAGGGATTCTGCGCATTGTGCACTCCTTGCCTGTGCGCCTCTGCAACATGTGCACACTGTCAACAGGCAACCTGCGGGCTGCTGAGAGCATTTTGTTCAAGGCTGCAACGCACCCTTCCTTCAACAGCAATGCCCTCTTCCCTTACCCCCGCCACCCCTCTTATCCACAGCCGCGCACCTGCGTCTTCCACAAGGACTTCTGGCCTACACACTTCATCGTCTCCCTCATCCGTCCGTCACTGTGCTGTTCACCCTTTCCCCCTCTCCCCTTCCACCCTTCCGTCCCCCCGCCCCCCTTTCTTCCCCCTCCCCCGCCTCAGCTTGGTGCTTGCTTCGCCTACACTGTTTCTGGCCCACCAACTTGCATGGTGAGGGCGCACTGTCCATCCCCACAGCATCACGCTAGAGGCTGCTGACGCGGCGGAGGTGCGTGACAGGCTGCACGCCAAGCTGGGGGGGGCTGGGCTGTTGGGTGCCCCGTGGCGGTTTTCGCCTGAGCAGCGGGAGAAGAAGGTGCGTGGTGCGATGCCTCTTAGGAGCTTCTTGTGGGGCTGGGTTGCTGGGTGCTTCGTGGTGGTTTTTGAGGAGAGGCGAGCAGGGGGAGGAGGTGCGTTGTGAGTGAGTCAGGGGTAGGTCGGCCGGAGAGTCACTCGTGGGTCATGGATGATGCGAGGCTGGGCGGGGCTGCTGGGTGACTCGTTGCAGTTCCCGTCCTGAAGGACGAGCAGAGGACGAAGGAGAGTGGGTGTGTGATGAGAGGGGTGTAAGGTACATGTGCATCACTGGCAGGTCACTGCTGTAGCTGCGCTGAGGCGGGGCGGGGTTTGCTGCAAGGGTTTGCTGGTTGCCCTGTGACAACCAACGGGACGACCAACGGGAGAAGGAGGTGCGTGGTGAGAGGGATGCGGGCTCAGGTCACTCTCGGGTAGTTTGCGGGGGATTGAACGGTGAGCGGTTGGATGTCAGCCGGCTGATTGCTCTGCGTCGGTGCTTTTCAATTAAGGCACCCACCTCCGTGCTCCTCTATGCTCCTCCGTGCTCCTCCGTGCTCCTCCGTGCTCCTCCATGCTCCTCCGTGCTCCCCCGTGCTCCTCCGTGCTCCCCCGTGCTCCTCCGTGCTCCCCCGTGCTTCTCCGTGCTCCCCCTATATCTGTCCACCCTTTCCCCCAAGTAGCTTCCACCCCTGCCGTCTCTACACTCACACACGGATAACCATTCTCTACGCTGAGGCAGTAGTGCCTTGTATCGAATCTGCCTCTACAGGATCAGGACTGTGCTATCATTTGTTGCCTGGTGCGCCACCACTGCCATTGGCACCCCATCCTCCCCTACGACCACCCTTCAATGCGGAGGGGACAGTCCCATGATCTCATCCCCCCATCACGCCATCATCCCACCACTCCCCCATCGCACCGTTAACCCATGACCTCATCATTCCATCACACCGTCATACCATCACCCCATCAGACCATCACACCATCACCCTATCACCCGATCATTCCATTTAGCCATTACCCCTCTACCCTATTACCCTATCGTCCCATCATCTTCCCACCATGCCCGTGCATTGGCTTTGGCCTTCACTGCAAGCACTTGTGATTAACAGCTTTGCCAGGTCACTGCTTATCCTGCCCTCGGATGTGCCCAACTCCCTTAGCTGCACGAGGCAAGATTCTGAATCACAAGAAAGAGAATCCATACCCTTGCACTTTCTTGCTTTCCGCATTTTCCCTTGAGCTAAACGGGCCCAATCCATAGGGCACAGGGCCTTTTGTCCGTGACTAACACTGACAGGGGGCCCTTGAGCAGTGGATTGGTCCTCTTGAATTGGGCGGTTTTTAGGCAGTGTGATCTGCCTCTTCTGAGCTTTCATCTTCTCCTTGCCTTCCCTGCCCTTTCCCGTGCTCTCTTCCTGGCCTGCCTCAACCCTCCCTTCCCACTGCAGGCCCTATTCAGCAGCTGAAACGCCAAGGTCATGACTCGCATGCCCACCTCTCTATTAGCGTTAGGTGTTTTCTCCGGCACTGTGCTCTGTCCCATCTGGGCCTCTCTTCCACCATCTTCCACAACACCATTCGGAAACCGTCTCAATTCACAAGTCACCTTGCTTCTGAACAGCAGTCTACTACTGCACGTTCCCTTCCCAAGAAGAGCGGCATGTTTCCCCGTTTGCTACCCACAGAAAAGCATCTCAACATCCGACATAGTACTACTGACAATACCGTAACCTTCTGATTTTTCAACTTGGAACTATTCTCCAGGGTATGAATGAAGACTTATTTGGTGAATGTACCTAGTTTCAGGTTCACCCCATGCTTCCTCTGGTCCTCATGTCACACTGGCGCTGCACATCACACCATAATTTGCAGTGACGGCAATCAATGGTTCACTACAGCAAATATATAAATAAAATAGACACCTACATCCATGTCAACGTCAATGACGGAAAGGAGTTTCAGTCTTATTAAATTCCCAACCCTACTGATAATTACAATAATCATAAAAAATCCTATATGGACCTTGCTGAAACAACCGAAAGTAAAATACCGTAGTGTCAGGTACAGTGAGGACCTTGACTGGTGAACGGATCCTCAGTGCTGAAGCATGTCACACCCCCAAGTACCGTATTCTCCCGGACATAACACCCGGGGGTATTATGATAACCACAGGGAAAAAGGGGGGGGGGTCCTCTCAACGGAAATTCCTATATAATACCCGTGTCTTATTATATGGTACATTTTTTTTTAAGCAGAAAACAATGTGAAACAAAATAAGCTTCAATGGCTTCACTGTTGGATTGTTGGTCAGGGCCGCAAAACCGAGTATCCGAGGATAACGTGACCTTTCACTGGAATCTGCCACATGGCAAATTCCAGTGGGCAACTCTGGCACCTGATTTGGTATAAACAGAGCCAGCCTTGCGCTGCGAGGGTTCATGCAAACACTGGGGCCGGAATCGCGCACGGTGCTGTGTTGTCACTGTACCAGTCACGTCTTGACTGGTTTGGTCACGTCCCTGTGCCTCAAATGGGTCTCTCCTCCTCCTTGTACAACAGTTCTAGTGCACGATACTACCGTAAACACTGCTCGGCAGGCTGTGAGAGCGCCTCCGTCCTACACTAGCGAGGGTTCTTTGTTTATAGGCCTTCCTTCCATGGCGGGTGACACCAATCTGCAGTAGAGTATGGCTTCCTCTCCTGATTCAAGCAGTACAGTAGTTAGGCGCCAGCGGCCATGTAACACTCCGTCTGCCGCTGCTGCACGCGCACGGACGTCGCCTCGCCCCTTCTTGCCCCAGCCGTCTCCTCCCGTTAGTAGTAGCTCCGATGCTTCTCGCCCTCCCCTTCCTCGGGTGCCTGTCCCCGCTTTCCCGGAGCGTAAGCGCCCGCAGGGTCAGCTGAAGCGCAACGCGGATGCTCAGCCACCATCCCCTCGCCATCGCATGACGAAGAAAGTACGTAAGGCGATCACCGTGAAGGAGAAGCTGCACTGGTTGAAGCTGCAAGACTCTCAGCCCGACCTGGGGAATCGCGCCTTGGCGAAGCTCGCGAAGGTGCAGCCCTGCCAGATCCGCGAATGGAGGAAGATGAAGGAGCGGCTGGACGTCGCATCTGGCTGCCGCCGTCGCCTCATGGGATTTGGCCGCAAGGCGAAGTATCCGTTCATGGAACGGGCGGTCTACCGCCACTTCCTCAACCACTGTGCGAAGGGCCTCGCCGTTTCGGTCCGCATGCTCCAACAGTGGAGCTCCAAGTACATGACGCACCGCATGCCCTCGGTGAACTGGCGCGCGTCGTTCCGCTGGGCGACGCGTTTCCGCTCGCGCTGGCACTTGGCGAGGCGGGTGAAGACGAAGATGGGGCAGAAGTTGGCTGCCGGTAAGTAAAGCAACAGTGCGATTGTGATTGCGGGTTCGTCGTTTAACTTACACGTGTCGTGGCTCTGTTTGCAGATAGTAAGGCCAAGGTGGAGGCATTTTGGGAGTTTGTGCGCCAGATGCGGACTCTGCACGACTACCCGCTCGACCTCATCGTGAACGCGGACCAGACTCCGCTCTTCTTGGAGATGCCGGCGGAGCGCACGATTGAAATGAAGGGTGCACGTACGGTTCACGTACGCAGTGCAGGCTATGAGAAGGAGCGTGTTACTGTCATGCTGGCAGTAACGGCGGGTGGGCTCAAACTTCCTCCGTACGTCGTGTTCAAGCGCAAGACCATCCCGAAAGTGCCCATCCCTGCCGGTGAGTGTAACACATCAACGTTCTTTACTGTGCTCCTGCCTGTCATGCGTCGCAACTTACCACGACTCTCACGTTGTGCCGATGGCAGGGGTGGTGGTCCGTGCACAAGAGAAGGGGTGGATGGACGAATCTCTGGTGCAAGACTGGATCACCCAGGTGCTAGTGCCGTTTCTGAAGCCCCTGCGGGAAACCACCGGCCGCCGCAGGGAGGCGATGGTGGTGCTCGACTCCTACCGTGGCCACTTGACAGAGGCCGTCGGTCAAACGATGCGGATGTTTCGGTTGTCAAGGGCAGTCATCCCAGGAGGTTGCACACCGCTTGTGCAGCCGCTGGATGTGTCGGTTAACCGCGCGTTCAAGTGCGGGGTGCGTTCCCGCTACAGCACATGGTTCGAAGATGACGGCATCAACCAAACCACTCGCGTAGGTGAGTTGCAATCTTGAGTTCCGTTTGAGCAACATCGTTCTAGCATCAGCGCACGCACTGCAAGTACACATTCTTGACTTTTCAACTCCTTCCCTTCCCACAGGCAACCTGAAGAAGCCGCCTGCGGACTTGGTTCTCCGCTGGATCGACGAGTCCTGGGAAGCTGTCCCAGAGGATCTCGTGACGAAAGTGTTTATCACCTGCGGGATCTCCACCGCCATCAATGGCAGCGAGGACCACCTCATCCTTGCCCATATGAGGGACAAGGGTGAGGTGGAGGTGCTTGACGATGTAAACGAGCTGGTTGACGACGAGCTCGTCGTCAACCCCTTCTACGCCGAGGCCCCCGTGCCGGCCGAGGAGGTGCAGCCGGCAGAGGAGGATGTGGCCGCAGAGGAGGAGGAGGCGGCGGAGGCGGCGGCGGCGGCGGAAGAGGAGGAGTGGAACACGCCTGAAGAAGGCGAGGAGGCGGGAGTGTTCAACGACGAGGATGATGAGTGGTGGCGCGCCGGCCGCTATGACGGAGAGGAGTGTGAGGAATGGGTCGCAGAGGACGATGAGGACACTAGATAGCACCAGAAGAAGCGAAGTAGTGCAAAGCCATAACTACCGTAGTTGTGATGTCTCTATTGTTTATGAGATGCTAGGTGCTGGTGCTATGTTTCAATATTACCGTAGATTGCACCCCTAACAGTGTGAAATATAAGACAAATATGCAATTGTGCCACCCATAACACCCCCCCCCGGGTCTTATAGAGAATCACCCCAAAAGGGGGGTATAGTACAAACGAGGTCGGCTATAGCACCCACCCCGCACAAGCTACCCGGGGGTGTACTATTAGGGGTGGGTGTTATGTCCGGGAGAATACGGTAGAAAACAAATCGAGCATTGCGAGTTGCGATATGTCGTCAGGCAGAGCCTCCAGCTGCTTACAGTCATAGAGTTCAAGCTTCTTGAGTCTGCTGAGCTGAGTAAAGTCAGCAGGAAGCAGCCGGATGCTGGTGCAGCTGAGGTTCAGCTCATGCAGGCAGGAGAGCTGTGTGAGGGAACCCGGAAGATGCATGAGCGATAAGCATTTGGATAAGTCCAGCCTGCGCAGCCTTGAGAACGCCCCCAAGGAATCTGGAAGGGAAGATAACTTTGGCGAGAGGATCCGAAGGGATGTGAGGTGGTGGAGAGTGGTGATGGCCGCAGGCAGCTCTGTGAGTTCATCACATGTGGTATGGATGTTCAGCTGCCGTAGCTCCTGCAATGCCGAGCCACCACATTTCACCAGCCTGTTCAAGCTGCGAACCTCCTTGAGTGTCAAGGTGCGGAGGCGAGAAAGCCTTGTCAATGCAAACAGAAACTCGTATGCATCTTCTCCCAGCGCCAGCTCCAGGTGCTCCAGAGCAGAGAGGTGGTACCCGATGCCCAATAGACATCTCGCCCCGACAATGCCCAAGTGCAATGTTCGGAGCTCTGCAAGTCTGGGAATGCTTGGCAGCGACACCACCTCCTCATTGTTTACAAAAGACAGAGCCTGGAGACTGAGTGGCAGAGCCTGAGGGGCTTCCTTCAGCACTTCGCATCCCCTCACCTCCAACTGCGTGAGCCTGGTAAGGCTGTCCAGCCTCCGGGGAACCGAAGTGAGACTGGCACATCTGACTATCACGAGCACCCGAAGGCTGACAAGGCCTGACACAGATTCTGGAATCTCTGTAATGTCACGGCAGTCCTGAATGAACAGCTCCTGCAGCTTTGCCATCTCCCCCACTCCCTCTAGAAGCCCACCAACGCTGCACTGATCCAGCTCCAACCTGGTCAGCGACGCCAGCTGCGAGAACGAAGACGGCAGCTGCTCTTTACGGTACTGTTTGAGATGGAAGGTTTGAAGATTGGTCAGCCCCCCCAAGTCTTCTGGAAGCTTCAGGGTCGGGGAGCACACAAGAGAGAGAGTTCGGAGGGCTGAGAGGAACCCAAATCCTGCAGGTAGCTCCTCCATCTCCTCGCACCCGACTAGAAGAAACGTCTCCAGAGATGCGAGCCTGGTGAAGGACGCAGGGAGATGGCAAAGCGGCAGCTTGTGAAGCACCAGCGACTTTAAGGCTGGAAGATCCCCAAAGTTCTCCGGCAGAGTGGAGAACTGATCAAGCTCTTCGACATCGCATGAGGAAATGGTCAAGCTCTCCAGGCAGGCCAGAGAGGTGAACTGATCAGTCAGACCGCTGAAGCTTCTCCAGTTGCTGATGCTGAGCTCTTGGAGGCGTGGCAGCATCTCTTCAAAGCTGTTTGGAAGGCGCTCTCCGATGTAGCAACGGTTCAGCTGCAACCGCTTCAAGGAACTGTATTGAGAATGGGGCGGGAAAAAGTCGCTAAACTGTGCAAGCCGTAGTCCGAAACTGAGTGACTCGAGAGAAGGTAGCTGTGCGAGTGAGAAGTCAGGCGTATGTTGAAGAAAACGGCTCATTACAGGCAAGAAGAGGCGGGTGAGGTTGGTGAGGTGAAGGAGGCTGGAAATCTGGTTGAAGTAAAGGGAGGGGGTTCCAAAGGAGAGTGCAGTGAGAGACGAAAGGGAGCTGAGATTTGGAGCGGTTAAGATGGAAGCGTTATTGCCCAAGTTGAGGATGCGCAACGGTAGCTGAAAGAAAGAAGCTGGGAGCTCGGCATTTTCCTCAAGCCAGTACAGCGACAACTGCTCTAGATGAGGGCAGTGACTCGAGAGATGATCCAAGCCAGATTCGTCTATCATCCGAACCCTACTCAAAACCATCAACTTGCCAACGTGCAGTGCTCTCAGCCTGGGGCAAAGAGAGGCGAGGTCAACAAGGAAAGTGTTGTCTAGAGCTTCAACACTTCCATCCGACAGATGCAGATGTGTCAGGCTGGGAAAGCAAGCGACGGCGTTGAGAACATCCTGACGCGAAACGACGCGGTGTTCCTTTACTAGGAGCGATGAGACATGGCTCTGAGCGAGACGCCGCCAGCGACGGCAGATCGAGGCGATAAGAAGGTTGTGAGCGGCATCTGCGGAGGCCGGAGGGGTCGGCATGGGAGTGTCTCTTCGCCATGGTGAGATCTCTAAGTAAGCGTTGTAAAAGTACGTGGGTGTGAACGGCGAAAGAGAACTCCAAAGTTTATCGCTCTCGGATGTGTATGCTTTTGATTGTTCGGAAGGCCAGAAGATGCTGATCAAGAGGTCGTCAGAGAGGTGGTGGATGTGAGTTTTACGCGACCCCATGTCAGTGAAGAAAAAGAACGCGGCAGGTGAAAGCTCGGTGTATGAGTACTAACGTATTGACTTAATTCCCTCCAAACTGCAGCTCACAGCCTCGATCGCCGGTAAAATAGGCGACCTCTATAGATCCCGCGTTACGAACTCCTAGGCCAACGACGCTACGACTATGAAACACGGGGGAGTTATGTTCCCGGAACTTAACTCACCGGGGACAGCAGGTACTAAGGGCGGGTCCAAGAATGTACGTATTTGCTGAAAACCCTACCCAACCACTTTTTTCGTCAAGTAGAACTTTCTGGATCAGCGTCAAACCCTGTTCAACCGCATTCGGACGTACTCTCTGGACACGCCCTAACGGAGTGGATCCAGATCCGCGCGATAGACTAGCATCAAGAGCGAGTGAGATCTGCCAAGGAGTGGAGATATGAGAGGTGGGAGGAGGGAAGACAAATGTGACCCAAGGCAATCGAAGGTCGGATGCCGTGTTCGACATTAGTAACAGCATACGTCCTGAAAACGACACTCGGCTCCACAAGTGATGCAACAACGTCGCACGGTGGACCTGCTTGGAACAAGGCAAAGCAGTATTCGGTTGGAGTTTCCATTACGGCCGATCCGAACCACCTGGGTGACCCCCTTGCGAGTGCTTGTGCCAGCCTTTGCACTTGTCGTCATCGGCCTTGGCGAAACCATCTGGGATTTGTGCTTCGCTTGTCATTCCCTCCACACCCGACAGAGTTCGTTCCCCAAAAAAGCCGAACCTGGCTGGGCCGACCAGAGCATAGGCTAAAAAATGTCCAGCTTTTCCGCCACACAAACCCTGGTTACAGTTTGTTACCAGCCGTCAGATTGTGGAATCTCAAGTTCCGACCAGGCCGAATGCGTTACTTGCTGCCAAGCCGTGGAGGCTCAGGACGTGTCTCATGTGGAGGGTCCGCTTGATCTGGTCCGCGACCAGAGTCTATAGGCCTGGTCCGGGGTTCTGGTCCGACGGACCCACTTGGCGGACCAGCGTTGGACCAGACACGGACTGGTCTGCCTGATGCGTCGCGCTTCGGGCTGCACAGTATTTGCGAGATGCAGCAGTAGCGACGAATTTGAAATTGAGTTACCCATCTTCTTCGTCTGCACAAAAATCTCACGCGAAACTTGCAAAACAAGAAATTTCGCCAAAACAAATGTTTCCCCACTGTTTACGGACCAGGCGCGGACTGGTCTGGAGGGCCAAATAAATGGCACCGTTTTAGTGCCATTCGAACGGTATAATGAGGTTACAAGCCCCACATCCTAGTCCCGGTCCGCCCTGGTTCACGCGCTGGTTCTTGAACTGGTCCGTCAGATCCGAGCCGTACCCACGTGGACTCAGACATCTGAGACGCCCTCTCAAACTAGCTAGCTAGAACAGGAAGATCAATGAGTTTCGGCTCATACATTCGATTTCAATGCCTCCCTTCGCAGGCTGCCAGTTCCGAGCTCCCGAGGCTACGGGACTGCAGATTCATCGTGCTATCGCCCTTCATCTTAGGCTCGATGCTCAAGCCGCGTGTGATTTTGTGACCACGTTTTTCCGAGCCGCCTACAGAGGAAAAATGCTAAGTTTCTATTATCACGAATTACTTGGTTCATTCGAATTCCCTGTTGCTCCTGTTCGCGTATCCGTAGTTTATCGGCCGATCATGAGCGCGGATTAGCAGCGTCCCTGCCTGAACCCTAATACCAAACGGAAAATCTCAGCCAAAACGGGTCGTCAAGCCTGACGACTTGACGACATGCTGCCCTGGGCAGAAAAAAACTAAAACCCTATCGGATGGCATGCCATCCTAGGGAGGCATCAACCCTAAATCCATGCCTCCCCGTGTTTAGGGTTGATGCCTCTATGACCGGATGCATGCCCTTCTGGGGTTTTTTTTTTTGCCCGCGGACAGCGAGCTCCCCCGGGCGGACTCGCTTGTCCGCTGAAAATACTCTTCGGAAAAGCATAATCGTCACAAAGCTCACGAACGAAATGCAAATCCGGATTCTGCTTTGGGAGGGCGACTGGGAAGTTGGAACCGCGATCTAGGAGGCAGATTGCGCGAGTGAAGGCGGAGGATGGGTGTTGTGCGGCTCGGCGACTGATAGTGAAGCCGCAGGCTTTGCAAAATCTGACCAGTTACGCGATATTGGTGAGGTCAGCGCCCCTGTGGACGCACAACAGGAGAAGGGTATGGGTACATTGAAGGAGAAAGAGAAGAGAAGGAAAAGATGAGGGAGAAGAATGGCGGAGGCAGAATGTGCTGCGGCAGTGGTGGAGGTGGGAAGGGTGGCAATTTGGGCGAGGAAGTGGTGAAGGAGGGGCTGCTCTGTGGGCTGGCGGAGGTAATGGAGGATGCACTTGGTGCTACCAGCCATGGGCCGAGTAGTGGCTGTGCAAGATATGGTGACGTTGAGGCTCTGAGGGGTTGCTGTGGGGTGGGATGTGTGCGAGTCACTCGGAATGGTGGGGGCCGCGGTCAAGAGCGGGTGAAAGGGGGGCTGAGGAAAGGAGGGCGAAGGGGGGGGGGGTGAGGGGGGCTTTCTGCTTGATGGGGCTGGTGGAGGGTGCGGTTGACAAGCTGATGTCGCCAATGTGAGAGCTCTGAGCAGTCTCTGTAGGGCAGGGATGGCGTTGTGTGAGAGTCACTCGAGAGATGGCTAGAGGCCGCTGGGAAGGGGGGGTTGTGCTGACGGGGCTGGCCGAGGCTATTTAGGATGCTCCTTGGAACACAAAGGGGAGTTTTAGACAGTCCTCCCAAATCCTCCGTACCCACCCATTCCCCACCCTTCCTTCCCACTCGCCCCTCATCCCTGACCGCCTCCAGCTCCACTCCGCTCCTGCGTGCTTCTCACACACACACACACACACTTACCCACTCGCGCAGGCGCACTGCTTCCAAGGCATCACCTCAGTACCACCTCGAACGCTCCCCTACGCCATATCCTTACCCTAAAGCACTCACCTTTCACTCACCCCCACGCCCTCCTTTATCCACTCCTCCCCACTCCTTACCCCATTTACCCCCCCTCCCCTTCCCCTTACCTCCTCCCCCTCCCGTTAGTCCCTTACCCTTCCCTTTCACCCTTTCCCCTGCCATGACCGACTCCCCCTCCCCTTACCCTCTCCCTTCACCCATACCCCCCCTTTTTTTCCCTCCCTCACCCTCCCCTGACCCCAGTCTCTCACCCCCTCCCCATTCCAATCCCCTAACCCAACGCCAGGCTCTGCCGACCCGTCTCGCCTCTCGTCCCTGGCGAATTGAGACCGTGCAGTCAGATTGGATTGGAAAGTCTGGGCCTGCAAGCTGCAATGTGGGTGTGGGGGCTTCACCACCGCTGTTAAACCAGACGAGTTGCACCTCGCCCCGACTCGCCTCGCCTCGCCTTGCCCCGCCTCGATGACGCCTGCACCATTGCCAGTGACACCGCTGCTGGAAAAGTAATAATTGCCCTTTTAGCTGTGCACCTGCCTTTCCCACTCCCCCACATGTCCCTGTCCCCTGCCTGCCTCCCACGTGTCTCCTGCTGATTTCTGCTTGCCCCACTACACTCTCTGCACTCACTCCCGCCACTTCTCTCAGCTTTCTAGCACTGTTTTGCACCTCTGGTCCGACTTCGTTTCGTACTTTCTTCAGAATTCTTAAAAGTGAGACAAGCGTCGGACTGTTTCTTTTCCCTCCGTTCTCCTCGTTCCTCTCCTTCCCCCGCCTTTCCCCTCCGCTCCCGCGCTTTCCAGCACTGCACCTGCTTCTCCTACACGACTTCTGCCCCACCGCACAGACTCGCGCCCCCACCTCACTGTCTCCCGTACCCCTCGCATAAATCACAGTGCTGAGGTGTCTTGCTCCCCTCTCCGCTCTCCCCTTCCCCACTCCCCTCAGCTCCGCACCTGCTCCTCTTACACGGACTCCCACCCCACGGGTTCTCGTATCCCTGCCCTACAAGCTCCCTCTCTTACAACACGGCCGCACCGTTCACCAAAGCATTGGACCTTCACCGCCCTTGATCCCCGTCATCTCCCCCCCCCTCCCCGTCGACAGCTCCTCACCACACCTGCTTTTCCTACAACAACTCCCACCGCTGTGGACCGGACGTGCTGTTCAATGCCAACCTGTGTGCTACTGGCGTGGTGGAGATGGGGGGGTGCTGGGTGCCCCATGGTGGTGTTGTCGCTCAAGGGCGAGCAGCGGCTGCAGGAGGTGTGTTGTTTTGCATAGGTGAGCATCGGGAGAGGGGGTGTGTTGTGGTGGTGTGGATGGGGTAGTGGGCTACTTGGGAGTCACTCCTGGGTGATGTCTGAAAGGCAAGGCTGGGCCAGGCTGTTGGGCGCGCTGAAATAGGATCGACGTGTGAGGGAGCAGGTGGTCACTGTGGGTCTTACAAGGTGCGTGCCAAGACCAGTAACAGGTCACTCTCAGGTATGGTTGAGCATGTACCGAAATTGAGTCAAACCTGTCGAACTGACTGAACCAAAACCCATAGGTCTCCATGCAAGAGGC